CGTGGAGGTCATTAAATTCTAAGAACAGGTTCGCAGGAACCGGTGCGAATCGGCTGAATCCCACCACTGTCTGGTAGTGTAATTGGTTTAATGAGTTGTTGAGTGGTGTTATATATTAATTGTTTTATTTTTTATTTTTTTTACATTTAGTTTCAGTGATTTTATTTGTTCATTCAACCAGTTACTTACATAGATATCCCACAATATTATGCTATATCCGTGGTTGCTTATATTAATATGGCCTAATGTTAATTCGTTATAACATAGCAGCCTTGTCAACGAAACAAAACTCGAAACGATCGACTGCAAAATGACTTAACTAGGCCTACTTTATCTTCTTCCTCAAAAAACTTCACTTTTCCTGGTATACTGCAACATCATAATTCAAGTGAACTACAAAACAATAAAGCTAGCTTTAAATTTTAATTGCGACTTACCTAATAAGATTGTATCTTCCTGTAATCACCGTCTTAAACTTCATGTATAATGCCATGACAATTACATTGTCACCTCACAACTTACATTCATTTTGATATAAGTTAAACATTATCCTAATAAATAAATAAAATCATGCTTAATTTCACAAATAAATAATACGTAGATATCCAACATAAAAGTTACGCTATAACACGAGAATACTGCGATACATAAGTATATTGCCAGGTTTCAAATACACGCTCCTAGATGGCTCATCGGTAAACTTAAAGAATTATAACGTTAAAAATAAGTGTACTGTACCCGCGGAAATCGTGTTCAAAATACATTCAACCAAAAAACTTATTCAAAACTAAATGGGATAAACGTTTTCCAAAACTGGATGTTATAAAAGTTTTAAGCATCTTACAAGCGCTTTTATTGTCCATGTTATTACTATTAATTAAATAAACCTCAAAAATAGATCCCTGCAAAATTTCACTGCTAAAAAAACGATTTTTCCAGTATTTGCACAGATTTGTGAAATATTGTTCTTTCATACCAAAATTGTAATTGAACGATTATGTCTCCCAATGGGTCAGTGATACGTTTACGGATTTACAATAAGGGGTCCACTTCCCCGTGGTGGACAGAAAGCAAATAACTGTTGTGTAACTCTGTGCTAACGCTATTAAACAAACTTTAAAGCTTACCAATACTAATGAGTATGATTTATGCAATCAGCTAAAACATCTACTTTAATCTAGAAAACTTTATTATTAAGCTAGCATTAACTCATTCAAAACAGGTATTATTTCACAATATACAGTAAGAGTATTATTGAAAACATTTTTTACTTCGTAATAGTTTAATGTGTTGTTATGGAAGTAGAGGTTCTTTGTAGTAAATTATATTTTCATCTGTTTTACTTTCATCAACCCGCAAGCGGACTCCTCTGAATCGTGTGCACGATAGAATCAAATGGTTTCATTTCGAATATATTTAAGCGCCCTCTTTTAACAAATCATGAAACATTGTTATGATAATATGTTAAATGGTGACTTCTGTTTTCAGTACAATGTTGCGTTAAATTATGATTCATGTGTAAATGGAAGGTTTATATTAATAAGCAGTTTGCTTTAAAAAATGACCTACTTTAAATCTCGTTAGGACCGTATTTGAATTACGTAGTTTTCAGGATATGTTGCCGTTGTCGGGCTATTTTAAAGCTATTCCCTGTCCTTTCTTTAACAGTGGATTGTGTGAAAGACCGCATTGTCATTTCAAACATGTCAAACGAGGTGAGATTTTGAAAGTTACTATAAGTTATAACTTATGGATACTTTCAAGCTTCATTGTATAATAAATGTTTATAAAAAAAAAGCTAATTTTGAAGTAAATGACTAATAACTGTTTAGAGTTACTTATAAAATATAAAACTTGAATAGTTAACATGAAAACATACTGAGTCAATAAGAAAAGTAACATGAATAAGATTACTGAGTTTCGCAGGAATTTATGTTTGAGAGCTAATTGTCTAAATTGCAAAAGTAAAAAGTTATCTTCTGTTTTCACAAAAGAAGATGGACATACTTGTAGGACTGAACATTATGTGGGAAATATTGGGATTGACATGAATCATGAACATATTAATTTCTTTGTGGTAGTTATTAAATAGAAACATAGAGATTAAAACTTAAGTGGGATGATACCTAAGGATTGGAAAGTTTTTAATGTTACTTCTGTTTTTAAAAGGATGACAGAAGTTGTTCTGGAAATTATACTTTCTAATTTTATACTTTATAGGCCAGTTTGTCCTGCAAGCTACACTGTATCTTAAAGAGTACTGATAAAGTAAGCATGACAAAATATTTCAGAGAAGTATGATATAAATGAAAACCATCATGGATTCACCAGAGGGCAAACCTTGTCTTACTAATCTGTGTTTATGTGTTTTTTTTGTTCTGAGGATGTTACTTAGTATCTGGTCAAACAAAAGGGTGTGGTCTTGGTGTACTTGGGTTTTCAGAAAGTTTTGAGAATGTGCTACAGAAAAGGTTAGTTAGTAAAATTGCATCAGCAATGGTTGGGGAAAGAGTAGTTAATTAGATTGTATGGTGGTTGGATGGGAAAAAGCTAAACATAATGTTTAACTTAACCTTTAAGGGACTACAAGGTATGTTGACCCATCAAGACTGTCCAATTCAAAAGTAATAAAACAAAAAATATAATTCAGTCCTGATCATTTAAAAAATTGTCAAGCCTTCCAGTAAGCTCCTTTAAATTTACTACATCTGAAAGCAATCTATTCCAAAGGCCAACCACTCCTACCCTGTCAAATTTATATCCTTGTCCTATAATTCTCACCATTAAATAAGAAAAACTTATGTTTCATCAATACTGTCAGTTTCCTTAATAATCTTAAATACCTCATTTAGACCCTCTCTAACTCTTGCTTTTGTTTTTTTTTAATTGAAAACAGTTTCAGAGATCTTAGCCTGGCATCATTCTGGTAGCCTTCCCTTTGAACTATTTCCAACAATTCAGTGTCCTTTAGGTAAGGAGCCCAAGACTGAACACAATACTCCAAATGAGGCCTGATCAGTGACCTATACAAAGAAGTGATAATCTCTTTTAGACTTATATTAAATATTTCTGTAAATACAACCCAAAACTCTCTTTACCCTACCACTAAGAACAACAGCTGCTTAGATGGCTTAAGGAATTGATCAAACAAAATATCCAGATCCTATTTTAAACATTGTTATTAATGGAATTGTATCATACTGAACCTTTGTTACCAGTGGAATGTCTCAGGGGGTCAATGCTCAGGTTATGCTTTTTTATAGTAAGTGCAATGTAGTTCATTGGGGCTATTATAATCTAATGACACTATATATATATATATATATATATATATGGGAACACACATAGTAACATGACTGAGTTAAAAAAAGATTGTTGTATAGTGGTGGATATGTCACTCAAGCCATCGAAGCAGTGTTCTGTTGCTGTTAGTAAAGCTAATAGAATTTTAGGGTGTGCTCACAGACATACTGATAATAACTCAAAAGAGGTAATTAGCTTTCATACAAAAAACTAGTTAATTATATCATGGAATACTGTGTGCAGTTTTGGTTTCCTTATCTAAAAAAGGATATTGACTTATTGGAAAGGACTTTAGAGGAGGGTTAACTTATGAGGAGGATTTCTTAACGTACTTTCTCATAATACTTAATACAAGAAGTAGATCCTACTGAAGCTTATCTGAAGAATGAATAGGATAAAGGCCTCTGATTTCTTTGTACTTAATTCTCAAGACAATAGGAAAGAGTAACAGCTCTTGTCCCAGTTAGCAAGCCAGAAAATTTTTTATGGTTATGGAACATTGTCTGATTTTTGCATTTTATTACTCTATGTGCTTTGGTACATTATTTAATTACATAAAAAAAATATTCAGTGCAGTATTACAATTAGTATAAAAAGTAGGGTTAGGTTTCATCAACAGTCAACAGCAAAAAAAGGAAGACCCAGGTAAATATTTTATTTCTTGTTTTTAATGTGTATTATTTATTTATTATTATTATTATCAAAGTAACTAGAATGTAAAAATTAGAAACTGTAAGTTAGATAAGGTTAGATTAGGTAAAATATATAATATTAATAAATTTTCTTGAGGTACATCCACAAGTAGCCCATGCATAATGTAATTTGATTGAGTAATGTGACCTACATGTTTGCCAAGTGATTTACAACTTTTGTGGCAGGAATATTAGTTAGATGCAGTTCAAAAAGCAATAACACAATAAAGGTTTAGTATAAACAGATGTATACTGTTACAAGTTTAAAGCTATTTAGGATAAACAGATGTAATTTCATGTAACAATTTGAAAGAAAAAAAGGGTAATTAAGATTTATTTCAATTTTGTTTTTCATGGCCACAAGGACAGTCAACAGTCAAATTGATCAACCTGATATAGAGTTAGGGTAGAGAAAATAACAGATAAAAGAAAAGGTTTTACTGAAAAAACATTTGAAATTTATTTAGATGGTTTTAGAAATTATGCATTGAAATTTTATATTTTTCAGATGAAAAACATAATTTTTAATCTTAACATGATAATCAGTGAGAGCAGCTAATACTCCATATATTCATGTGGAAGTATTTAGTAAAAATACTTCATTAAAAAATCCTGATTTATTTATCTACAGATGACTTAATGAATACTGAAAGCTTGCAAATTTACACGAAGATACACAAAACATATTAGAAGTTATAGTGTGGAAACTATAATGGTAAATTTGGGGTCATGATCTCGATCAATTTGGCCAAGCCAAAGAAGTTAATTTTGAAAGAAGCAGCCTTTGAAACTTTGTGTTCTGAACTAGCTGGTTCTAAGTTGGAAAAAGATTGGGAAACACTGATATAGAATGTTCTGTGAGCTGTTCACTATTGATCAAATGAATGATGGTACAGTGAAACTATTTACAAAAACAGTTCAAATTGCCCTTACAATGTGGTAGCATGGAGCAGAAAACATGTTGTTGGTGACTTTTGAGTATTCACACAACTGAGTGTAAACTGTTACCTTTTGAATGTAAACCTAGTCTGTGATATTTTGTATAAGTTTGTTTAAAATATAATTTCAAGCTGTAGCAACTACAGTAAAACCTTGACATTAAGGGCACACTTTCAACTGCATCCAAATACCCTCTATAGCAAGGTGCCCTTAATATCAAAAATGAGCCACACTAAACTGGATTCCATATTGACTCTACTAAATTTCTGAATTTTAAGGCCCTTCATTTGTTTGATGTATGCAGGACATGGGTATTCTTGATTTGCACATTGCCATGACAGTGTCAGTAGGAGGTCTCAGGGGTGGATTAGCTTTGCCATTTTTTCTTTCTTATTCATCATAAAGTTTCAAAGTACTTCTTTTCAGAGTTTGAACTGTTAAACATTTCACATTTATTTTCTGTGTTTATTTTACTGTGAATTACTGAAGTCAAAATCTGCTGAAAATATCACCGAGACCACGATGTGGAATTTATCAACTTATGTATCCTACAGTGTTTACAACGAGAATTACTTAAAATAATAAGATTGCACTTTGAATCTATGAAATGTTTATTACAGTATATGGTTCGGAGCCAATTCAGTAAACATTCAATAACACACACAAACATGTACAGGGCTACATTTTAATTTTGAAATATTATCTGGTTTGGTCTCATCATTGTGAGCTGATTGGCCTTCTGTTGTGAATTGCATTTTTGTATATATATACATAACAAGTATAAGTAAAGAAACTTGCTTTTAATGCAGGAATAATTCTTCATGGCTATAACATATCAGGGGTCCTCCCCCCACTATTTACTTACTGGTGTAATATTAATAACTTACAATTATTTAAAATTTTCAAAATTTAGTTAAATTATAGTGCAAGTATTTGTTATGATTTCCTAAAATCTATTTTTATAAATATGGTAACAATACAAAACAATGGAGTAGACATGATAATTAAGATTTTAAGATATGATCTTCAAACAGTCTATCAGTTTAGCTTGTAAGGTCTAGGTAATCTTTGTAATTTTTGTGGGATTTTTTTTAGTCTGTATGAACAAATTGATTGTTTTTGTTTTGTTTTTTTCTAAACAAAAACAGACGTGCTTCCCAGAAAAGAATTGCACAGTTATTCGACAGAAGAAACTACTTCTGACAATATTCCATTATCGTATAAAACTAAAGAAAAAGAAGATGCATTGCACAAGGTTAATGAAGCCATTCGACAAGTGTTGGAAGAGATGGAGAGAGACAAGGCACAGATGCAGGCAGGCACTATTGCAGTGGGATGTGCTGAATATGCCAATAATGTTTCATATATCCCAACTCCAGTTACTAAGTGTTCAACTAAATCCCGTTACTCAGAAAAGAAAACCGTGTCAAAACCACACTTGCCTGTTTATGATATGCCTGTTTATAAGCCTACTCCTCTTGATCGTTTAGGTCAAAGTAAAAAACATAAGAAGATTGAATACGATCCATGTGTTGCTAGTATTAAATGTGAGAAAAGGGAAAAAATTGTAAAAAGATCAACTACAAAATATTCTCTCGTGGATTTATCTCAGGGAAGCTCTTCCTCGGAGGAAGGTTATGTGCCAAAACGGATAAAGCTTGGCAGTATAGAAAAAACTGGGGAGGATATAGAAGCTGATAGGACTTGTGAAAGACACTCTCCAAAATTCAGCGACGATGATGAAACTAATGGCGTAATGCACATGTTTCCATCTGAGTGGAGTGAAACTGGGGGCATAGAGATTAAAAAGTATACAAATGTAAATGAATATGAAAAAGAAAGTGATTATGATTTTGTGAATAAGATACTTAAGGAAAGCAAAGAGCATGACATTAGTAGAGAAAAGCCAGTAAATGTTGACAGTAAACGTAAGACATCACAAAATGGAAAGAACATCAAGGATGAAACAAAAGATAAGGCAAGCACAAGAAAATTGAAAATTGACCAGAAATCAAGTAAAACTTTTAAGGCTTCTAAAAAAGAACTGACTGGAAAGAATGATGCTGGAAAATCCATAAAACCAGATTCGTCATCGAAAGTGAAAGCTGATTCAGATAAAGTTTTGAAATCACCTAAGGATACCTCTGTGAAACTTCAATTGAATATGAAAGGAACAAAGCAAAAAGAAAATACTCAAGAAGTTCCTAAAAAGCTACAAGACTGCACAGATAAAAACATAAAAGAAAGTAAAACAAAACATGAGAATTCTTCCATTCATGATAAAGATAAAACGTGTTCTAAAGCAACAAGTATTAAAAAATGTGTTAAAAGTAAAATTAGAATAAGCAAGGAAGCACACATTTCAACAAAACAGAAGAAGAAGTGTTTACCTTTTCTTGAGAAAGAACAAGACAGTGCAGTTAGCAGTAGTTGTAGACCCCACTCACCAGTTGTCATCAGCAAATCAACTTCAAATGATTACAACTCATCTGATAGCCAAAGTGTGACTTCTACTTCTAAAAATCAGGCTCAGCTTAGTGTTCAGACTCAACCTAGTGTTCAGGCTCAACTTAGTGTTGGTAATGCAGAGAACTCAAGCTTGAGTGAAGAAGAAGACTTGTTTGATTCTAGTGCCTTGGACACAGATCTTGATGAACATGATACTTATGAGGAATGCTGGAGAATATTCAATGAAGCTCAAACTTCGACATCTCAAGACCAAAATCCCAGCATGAACAAAGTAAGCATTTTATTTTAAATATTTAATATACACCAATATGCAATGTTGTATATGTGTGTGTGTGTGTAAATATATTACTCCACATGAAAGAATAAAAAAATATCAATATACATAATATTAAATTTTATTACACACATTAATAGAATAATTACTTTAAAAGACATGAAGGTTTATTTAAAACAGTGTTTTAGATGCATATGTTTTATTTGGAAAGGCTGCTTTTCTACTAGTAAAACTTTTTCTTGCTTCATGGGGGTTGTGTCTTAGCCTAGGCATATATTTGCCCATTACTCACTATCTTCTCAAACAAATCTCCAGCTGCAGCTTAATATTTCACATCTTGAACTAATGTGATCATATAGTTAATAGCTACAGTAAATCATCATGAACCGTTTCAGCTAACTACTAGTTATTTTTATTATCATTACAATATATGAAGTTATCTACCATATCAAGTAATTCTTTGCCCATAGTTGAGCATAAAAACAGCCAGCAAACAAGATAAATAAAAAAACTGAGAAGTTAAATATCTGCAAATAGGGATTATAAAAAGTAAGAAAATAAGGCTAGACATAATGTAGACATTATTTACTCAAACTACGAGTCCCCATTTTGACTCCACCAAATGTAATTCTAGGTAACAGCATGAAGCCAAAATATGGATTTGTAGTTTGTGTAAATAATGTCTACACTCTACCTCCAGCCTTGTTTCCTTACTTTTTTCACAATCCCTAGTTGCAGGTTTTTAAATTCCTAATTTATTTATTTTTTTATAATTGGTTACTTGCAAACATTGGTTAACATCATTGAAAATAATAAAATTAATTGAAATTACAATTTAATCAGTTATTGCAAAATTAATCAACTAATTAATTAATGTTTATTTCCAATTATTCCAAGTGTTAACTAATTCAAATATTGTCTTCATGGTTTCTAATTATTTTGATTAATTCAAGGTTAATAAAATAATCAACAACCTGAAATTAGTTTTTTCATCTTTACTATTTTGTACATTTTTCCAACTATTCAAATCTTATGAGGATAAATGATTAGTTTAATGTAATCAGTTAATAAGCTTTAAGATTAATTGATTTGCAAATTCCACTAATTGCTTATTTCTAAGGTTGAATTATAGCTATTCTAATTCAGAAGTTTTATTTACATCTGTACCACTAAGAGCTGTTACCTCAATTGCAACTACCACAAGCATTGAACAAATGCCTACCACTGCATGTGTCTATGTGTATTGCACCAGCCTATGACAAAATTGTCATAATGCTATAGTCGTCCACTAATAGGAAGGCAATACAACCTTCGTGCATAGTAATACTTGTGAGTACTACACATGATGATAGGCTCATTCTTTCCTTGGCATTGCCTGTGTTCAGATTTGTTTTTTCCTATGCTTTTTCAGATTCTAGCCACTTTGATCAATTGCCTTTCTTTATTACATGTCACATTATTTTTGTCGTTGTTGCATATTTTTTCCATCCACCTGATTCCAACTTCATTTTCTCCAGCTACCACATTTCTTCTTTGTTCTTCTTCTAACAATGAAAAAAAATGTAGACATTCCTCTTCAGGCATTTTCTCATCTGATGTCAACATGAGAGACACTGCCTGTTGATGGAGCTTACATACAGTAGTTATCCCTTTCACTTACTGGTGTGTGACAGGTCTTGGATTTCTAAATATTATATTACATTGTAATGTTATGTTAGCATGATCTTATAGAGCTGTGATGAACCATCGTATGACAACATGATCACTGATGATGTTTTTTAGACTTGATGTTACCACTGTCATGTATGAGGTGTTGGTTTCTTTATCCCCATTTCTTTTACAGGTCCCTCATAGTTTTGTTTTATTGCTTTCATCTCGCATATGGTCAATTAAGACTAGTGCTTCCACCTCTAGATATGCTCATAACTCAGTAATGTGATTTTCTATCTCTTTTGCCTGCGTACCATAATATCTTTTGATTTACATTACATTGCGGGCCTCCCTCTTTCACAACTCTATGTTGATCAATGTTGTCTTTGTCCTCATCTTTGTAATGCCTTGCTATGGCCTAAAGTCATGACCCTTCTATATTTCTTGTATCCCAATTTCTTGTGTTCCTTCTGTCCGCTTTAGACACATCTGTTTCTCCTTTACTTTCTTTCCTGTAATCTGCACGTTTTATCTTTACTCATTTGCTAAATCTCCATCCTTCATCTGTTCGCTGTGGTTCTTCGTCATAACCCGATAGTTTTTGGGGTCACCCATTCTTATTTATTTGCCCCTTTGACTTCTACTCTACTGTCTCTATTCTGTCCTGGTTTCTTTATTCTTGGGATCTGGAAGCTTTCCTTTATGGTGTCTGCCTCTCTCTTTCTCATCGCTCCTTCATCTATGTCTTGCCCTTCACTCACTGCACTCTTAGAAAATACTTGCAATTCCTTAGAATTTAATCTAGAACTGGGGCTGCACACCAACAATCTTCCTTCAATTCCCTGGTTTCCTGATTCACTAACCATGGATACTTCAGTTGTCTACACAACATCAAGAGTCCAGTGGAGCTACTCCTCTCCTGTTCTATATCCTATTACTTCTGCTCACTGTTCCCCTTCCCATTGGTTTATATTGAAACTTTCAGTGGCAACCATCAGTGCCTGCCTCTCCCCTTGCCACTTCTATAGTCTCCTTTCAGTGGGACCATCAGTGCCTGCCTCTCCCCTTGCCACTTCTATAGTCTCCTTTCAGTGGGACCCATCAGTGCCTGCCTGTCCCCTTGCCACTTTTATAGTCTCCTTTCATCAGCAACTCTTTAAGTTGTGCAAGTTCTTTCTTCAGGTTTGTCCCTGCTTGTCATACTCTACCTCTTCTTTTTTCTCATCTTCTTACCTATCCATTCTCCTCTGATCTTCTACATATCCAGATCACCAGTCTATCCCGAGGATCTAGTGTGGTGTGTTTTGCATGTTGATTTTAGTTTCCAGCTCCAATGCATTAGACACGTATAGGGATGGATGTTTATTCAAGGCTTATGGCATGCACAGGAAATCCCACAGCAGTTGCATGTGAAGTAATAGCTCTTGGTATTACAGAGAAGCAAGGATATATCTTAAATACATTTTCAGGTAAGGAAAGTGTTAATTTCTTTCTCGTTAACTATATAGCCACATTTATTTATTTATTCTGAATCTTTATCCAAGTTTCTTTATTGGTTTTACACTTATTTTTTGTTGTAGTTTTTTCACTTTGTGTCTCAACATTTTTATTATAAATGCTTATGTCATACAGGCATTTTAATTCTTGTTGTGTTTAAACCAAGTAGACGTATCTCTAAAATGTTAAAACCCATTTCTCATTGAGTTTTTTCATGCTGTCAACAACCTTGTGACTTCAAATCTGTATATCCTTCATAAAATGCAAAGCATACATCAACTTACCTGGAATTATCCACTCTCTCACATTACTTATTACTCATACATCGGGATAATGTACATATGCCCTTCTATCCTGCCATACTGTTACCTTCACTCACTATCAGTAATGAAGGTATTAACTAATGCTGCTAATGTATCTCCCAAAATCAGAAATTCTTTGGAATCCTTGCTCATATAGTCTACCTTTAGCATCTAGAAAGAATGCAAGGCTTAATTATCAACTTTTTTTGATGATCAACAAATTCAGGCCCGTATTTCTGCTTCAACTGGTGGCATTGGTGAGTTTTATGTTCATGTTGATGCACATTTGTTAACAATCACCCTTTTTTAATTGTGATTATGATAAATAAAACATCTTTTCTTCAGACCTATTCCCCTTCATTTGTGTGAAGAGCAGGATTGGTCAGCTAGTGCAAGTTACAAATAAACTTCTGCTGGTTTGAGTTCTCTCTTTTTCGTATATGTTCTATTTTAATTCTCAAACAGATTCTGTTACCTGAGTGTGCTAATGTCATGTTGGACAATTCCATTCATCAGTTTTTATATATCTCCTGATTTTTGATTGACTGCTGAATGCTTTTAGAAACAGCCTAAATGTTAATAGCCTTTTATTGTTCTTTTGATTGCTTTTAGTCAGAATCGTATTTGCTGCAGTTCTCGGAGAGTAGCCATTATGTTCCATTGACATTTTAGCCCATCATGCTTTGTTACAAGGTAATCATATCCCCAACCCCCACCCAATTCCTTCCCTGAATTGTTTCTTTTTTGCAGTATTTTCATCCTAGTCTCTTGTTCAAGAACAATATGAAGCAGGAGCAGATTATGGTTTTAAAACTTCAATTTTTGGTAATCATTTTTCTGACAACCTGCCAGTTATACTTGTCCCTCTTTTGTCTGCTGAGAAGTAGCCCTACTGATTGTCCAGACATAGATAAAAGCAAGTGAAGTCTTCTTGATCCACCTAATTATTCTCTTCTATTCTGGACGAATCTCCCATCTTGGCTGTTGGAGGAGTTGTCTCAGATCATTGATTTTTCTGTAGAAATTTGTTTTTCACAGATCCTTTACATTGGTCTTAATGTCTTCCTCTTCCTTATAATCCAGTTACTCAACTATCCTTAAGGAAAGATATGTCAAAATTGTTTATCTTGCTTCTAGGTTTTTACTTCTTATATCTTTGTGGCTCCTAAGAAATGAGGAAATTCCGGATATGTCCTAGAGTCACCAAAGTTTCAAATGGGAAATGTGGTTGTTACAAATAACTCTTTGTCACAGCTCTTGTATTATGATGGTAGATGTATATTCATATCCCTGTCTTTGTTTCTGTGACTTCATTATCACCGTGTTAGTGAATGGTGATCATTTTGGAAGATTCACTTTCTCAAGATCTTCGACTTTGAAACTGCAGCAAAATAAAATTTGTGATAATGTTTACTGCACTAATAGTTGATGTAAACTACTGCTTTGAAATTGTTCGTGCGATATAACACACAGTGATAGTGTAGAGAGTGAAGAGCTCAAGTTCAATATGCTGAACAGCTGAGTGCTAACATGTTGATGTGAGCTGTTGCATCCAGAGGAGTTCAACCCAAAATGAATGATTCTTCAGTACAGTGTATCAAAGAGAATGAGAAATCTATGAAAAAAGTAAGGTCTACAGGATAAATGAGAAAGTTAGATTTTGAACATAAACTCTGTTAAACCAAAACTAAAGAAACGTGAGAGTGCATGAAGAAACAGTGACACCGATAAAGAGCAATGTCCTATTGAAGGTGTTGCCTGCGACCACACCCCGAGGGAATGATAATGTGACACGAAGCCATCATCCCTATTGCAGATAGGATGTCTTTGTGGTAAGTTCATGAGACTTCTCAATTTGCAACACCACAGGAAACACTGAAGTGTTCCTTGAATTGCATTGATAAAAGAACCTCAGATGCACCAAATACTGTTCTGATACTAAATGAGAATTAGAGGTATGGATAATTCATCCAAGAGGGATTGCCAATTTGGTGGTCAAATGAACGTATGTCAGAAAATGAATGGATGAAAGAGCCTAAATAAGTCCATCATCCATGTAAAAGTAACAGTCCAGCAAATCTAGACTACTCAACAGCAAATGTATGAAGCTCAAGGGAAGGACAGTGATGTGATAAACTACCCACCTCCAATGGCAAAAGAAGATGATTACGGGATGATGGATGAATAGGGTTATGAATAAATGTATCCTGTATATCCACCATCATAATCCAAGGTTATGAATAAATGTATCCTGTATATCCACTATCATAATCCAAGGTTATGAATAAATGTATCCTGTATATCCACCATCATAATCCAAAGTTATGAATAAATGTATCCTGTATATCCACCATCATAATCCAAAGTTATGAATAAATGTATCCTGTATATCCACCATCATAATCCAAGGACTGTGAGTAGATCTCTTTGATGCTTTTATCACTGGTCAGTTGTAAATCACTTCTGCTACCTTCCCAAGTTTGTGCATTATACACAATGTTTGTTCTATACACAATTCCATCTACTTTGTGGGAGCTCCATGAGAGATAATGCCTACTTGAAGTGAACAGAGAATGCCATTCGAGAGGTGATGTTTTGTCAGTAGGTACATTTCCCTCCTCCTTGTATTCTTTGTATATTTCATAGCTCCAACCGGGATAGGGATCACATTACATCTTTGTTTTATTGTTAACCTTAATTGCGGTCTTGTTGATCTGAGTTGTTGAGTCCATCCTGGAATATGCCTAGGATTTTTCACTTCTCTGTCAGTGCCCCACCAATGATTAAGCTCTTTCATGAGTTGGCCAGCCTTTTCAGAGTAGGATAAAGGGGCTTTAGTCCTAAGAGAATGTTCAGTCTTAGTTATTACTGGTTGTCTCCTCTGAGAATTTTCCTCTACAGGTATTGCAATGCTTTGTGTTCTGACCCTACTTAAGTGTTATGATAATACCTGAGAATGTACATGGCTCCTCAGGTTATATTATTATTGCTCAAACGTCATTTATCTTATGTTAACGGGTGTCTATAGCACATTTATTCTGTCTCCTTCAGGTTGGTCACTTCGCTCAATGCTCCCATTAATCTAGTCCATTACACTGGTTTTGAATTCTACTCAAACTCTGCTTGATCACTTTATTTGTTTGTGATCAAGGCTATTACCTTTCTGCCTAGGATTACAGTTTTGGGAGAACCAGTATTTCTTATGAAACTCTCTGGTTTTCTGCTCTATATTAGAGTAGGTATTACTGCTTTTAATATTTTGGAGGAAAGCTTACCTTCTTTGAATTTTACATTTTTAGAATTATCATAACTTTCAAATGGGTACTTACCTCTGAAATTCATTTCCACTCACAGTTGGTTAGAATATAGTATCAGAATTGCAAACAAATAAATTTGGGTAATGGCAGGAAATCAGAGCTTATGTATGTTTTCCTGACACATATGTAATAAGTCACACAGAAGGTTCTCGAGTAGGGAATTCTGGGTAAGTTGACATATGCTCTGTATTGATTCAGAATTTGAAGAATGTGGTTGATGACTGAATGAAAACAAATGAACAAGAAAAGGCCTTTAGTATTACAGAGGAAGTTTGAAATTTATTTTGATTCTGTATAAATATGTTTATATTTGTCTCAAATATTAAACAAAACTGACTGTTACCTAATTGCTCCTTGACCTTACTGTGAATACTTATGTTTTATGCTATATTCAGTAAAATAGGTATTATATGTTTCTGTTTGATTTGTATTTTCTGTCATTAATAAGGTATCATAGCATTATCTAAAAATTGGTGATTTAGTCCAGTGGAATTAAAAAGATAAAAATCTGTTTCATGCAAGTTTTAAGTCCTTTATCGTGTTTGATAATGGAATTTGAGGCTTATGTTTACTCCCTAAGATGAACAGAATTATAGCAATCCATTGAATAACCTTTTATAGGTTCGCAGAATGCAAGAAGCAGTAAAGACAGAAGCTGATGTAGTCGTACTGGGTAAAAAGAGAGTTGCACATCAACCAACCTTGTCACGGGTAAGTTATGACTGAAATTAATAATTCATCAACTATACAGTATGTACTATATCCAGTGTCAATAAGGCCTTGTGTTCAATATTGGGGCTCTTCAACTGAGATACCAAAGACCTGTTAAAAGTTGAAATGCTATTTATATTAGCAAATTACTTGACAAGAACTGTTATGATGAGGACTAGATTAAGTGTAACATTTTTCAGTTTTATACGAGTCATTTACAAATCAGAATCAGGGTAACAATTAATAACACATTATTACTGAATTATTTTATCTTTTGTTCAAATGGAATATGATTAAGTTTTTTTAATTTATTGAACTAAAAAGTGCACATTAAAAACAGTGATTACTTGAATTATGTTTGTTTGTGTGATATAATTACACGTGACATAAATGCATTTTATAGATCCATAACATTAATGTAATTAATTACATCAATTAATTAATTAATCATAATTAATGAATTAGGATTATATAGCCTTTTTTAAGTGAGTGTTACTTACATTAAATAAAAACAAAAAAAAAACCTGATTTTATACCCTGTGTTTGTCCCAAATTACAAATTCTGAACAACAGACCAATTCAAGAATAACAGCTTTTTGTGTTCAAGAAAACACAGTAAAGAAAATTAAATATGCAACTTTTTTTTCCATCTTATCCTGTGATGAACAAGTGTAGTTGCACTGAATGTTTAAAAGATCTAGTTTTGTGTGTCAACAAATAAAAGAAGCATTATTGGTAAATCACCACAAACCAAAAGTAAATGAACAGATGAAACATTGCCTATTACTACCTCCGGCCAGAACTGAATATACTTTAAATGTAACGAATCCACTTTTTGGGACTTATAGAACTTATAAACTGGTTCTATCCCTCAACATTACTCCACGTTCATATGCAAAAATCCTCATTCTTTTCTTCAGTACAGTTGTGCAAAGACACGTGAGATTTTGCTGAGAAATGTTGAAACATTTCACAAATTAACATTAACTTTTTTTCTGTTGAAGCAAATTTCACTCATAGTTACCAACAGTTTAGGAAGTTCTTTTGCCTCTAGAGACCATCGTCCAATGGGTAATGGGATCTATGTTGTCACATTGACTCTCCTCTTCCATCCCTACCACACATTTCCCTTCACAGAATTTTGAAGCTGAAGTTGAAGAGGGCAAAATGGAGAACTTTACCACCCAATACGTCTTTACCTAATGAATATCTTTTGACTCTTCCCTCCTGCCTTATATATATATATATATATACCTTATTCCCATAATTCCCTTTCTTTTCCCCAACCAGTTTTTTTCTGAACTCGATATTTCCTTCAAGTTTAAATTTGTTCCCATTGTTTTATGCCTTGTTCTCCTTGCCTTACCAGGTAACAAGTAGAAGTCATTGTGTAGATATAATTTATTCTTCCTTAACACTTAACTTGTAGGACTAAATGTTTAGACTTCCTTTATTCTTTCTTAACACTTAACTCGTAGGACTAAATGTTTAGACTTCCTTTATTCTTCCTTAACACTTAACTCGTAGGACTAAATGTTTAGACTTCCTTTATTCTTTCTTAACACTTAACTCGTAGGACTAAATGTTTAGACTTCCTTTATTCTACCTTAACACTTAACTCGTAGGACTAAATGTTTAGACTTCCTTTATTCTACCTTAACACTTAACTCGTAGGACTAAATGTTTAGACTTCCTTTATTCTACCTTAACACTTAACTCGTAGGACTAAATGTTTAGACTTCCTTTATTCTACCTTAACACTTAACTCGTAGGACTAAATGTTTAGACTTCCTTTATTCTTCCTTAACACTTAACTCATAGGACTAAATGTTTAGACTTCTGTATTCTTCCTTAACACTTAACTCATAGGACTAAATGTTTAGACTTCCTTTATTCTACCTTAACACTTAACTCATAGGACTAAATGTTTAGACTTCCTTTATACAATATATCATTTAGATCTCATTCATTACTCCATCACTTTTACCACATAGAATATAATGTTTGGTCATAGTTACTGCTTAACATACACCACATAGTATGTCTCATCAAAGTTCATCACTCCTTTGTATGTACACTTAGGAGATGGGGATTGGTTGTATTTATTTATTCCTTATCGTGTAAACACAGACATTAATGTTTTGTTACAGTTAGTTGCTCTTTAACATGTTCACGTAGAAGGTAGTGTTTACATCTAGTTTGTTACTTCTTCACATGTACGTATGGAAGTTAATGTTTAGTCTTACTTGATTATACCATGCCTTGTACGTGTAATAACAATTAATGTTTGATTCTAACTCCTTATCCTATAACAAGTCCACCAAGAGGATAATATTTAGTTCTTGTTCATGTAGAAGATAATGTCTTTAATTCTTGTTTAATTATTCCTTGCCATGTTCACATCCATGTTAATGTTTAGTTTTAGTTTTTACTCCTTCACATGTAACTTGTTTGAGATGATATTTAGACATAGTTCATTACTCCTTAATATGTTCATATTGATGTTAATCCTTAGACATAGTTAATCACTGCTTTACACATAGAAGATTATGTTAGATATAGTTAACTTCATATCGTGTCTCACTTAGAATATCTTGTTTGGTCATGGTTCATTATGCCTTTCCCCTTACACATAACGGTTGACGTTTAGAAATGGTTGCTTATTCTTATTTAGTTCTCGTTTATTACTTCTCCTCATGTCACTTAGTAGGAGGTTCATGTTTCATCATGGTTCATTATTCCATAACATGTACACTTAGTAGGTAATGTTTAGTTGTAGTTACTGCTTAACGTGTACACGAAGGAGGTATTATTTCAACATCCTTTCTTCTTCCTTCACTCCCAACATTTTAACTATGATATATAGACTTTGTTCATTACTCCTTAACATGTACACATAGGAGGTATTATTTCAACATCCTTTCTTCTTCCTTCACTCCCAACATTTTAACTATGATATACAGACTTTGTTCATTACTCCTTAACATGTACACATAGGAGGTATTATTTCAACATCCTTTCTTCTTCCTTCACTCCCAACATTTTAATTATGATGTATAGACTTTGTTCATTACTACTTAACGTATACACATAGGAGGTATTATTTTAACATCCTTTCTTCTTCCTTCACTCCCAACATTTTAACTATGATGTATAGACTTTGTTCATTACTCTTTAACATGTACACATAGGAGGTATTATTTCAACATCCTTTCTTCTTCCTTCACTCCCAACATTTTAATTATGATGTATAGACTTTGTTCATTACTACTTAATATGTCTACTTAATGAATAATATTCTGTTCTTTACTGCTTGACATATCACACATCAACAACATTATTTTGTAACAGTTCATTACTCCTTAGCATGTACACATTACAGGTAATGTTTCATCATAGTTTATTACTTTTTTCACATCCTTTTGTTGCCTTGCCACATCCATCATTGCTAACCTTCCTCTATTCTGGTCTCCTGTGCCTCATTCCTCAGCCCTGGTTATCTATGCCCTCACTCTGTACTGGTCCAATCATTTTAATTATGCAGATCCTCCTCTACATCTCCTCCCTCAAGTCCTTGTTATGTTTGGGACGCATCATAGGTGGTCCCTTTTGTGACCACTCGCAGGAGATTCCAACCTTGTTTCTATTGCTCTATTTAGTTGTGTCTCAGTCCAGACTTCCCCTTCCCAAGTTCCATCTCTTCTGTTCCACCCTCACACATCACTCTTTCCTAGGGATATGCAGACCCACTAACTCTTATGATTTAAGTGTAATTGTTTTGATTCTTTTAAATTTTGTACCTGTATAAGTTGTTGTGAAATTCTGGAAATTTTCACAGTCCTTTTTTTATACTAATCATTTACCCTAAATAATTCACTGCTCTCTGTCTCAATCTTACAAATTCTTGAAATTAAGTCTATATTCAGGTTCACATTCTTAACTCTCTCAGCACGGGATCGGTCCCTGGGATCAACCTCGTAAC